GTTCATACTCTACACAAGGAGGTAAGTTTGTTTAATTTTATAATAAATACTATACTAAAAATGCATATAACTTTTTTCGATATTATTTATTTATTTATTTACTGATTTATGTATTAATTTATTTTTAGCGGCTCGATGAGGTAGGTGCTTTACGTCGGGTTTTTCTTGTACGACGAAGTTCACGCATCAGACGTCATGGACCTGTCATTACGTCGCATTTCACCCCAATAGTTCCAAGACTGCGTAAGAAGAAGCCTGATTCACCTATCGTTGTTCAGGATCCATCTCCTATTGTTCAGGATTCATCTCTCATCGTTCAATAGGCCCCTCCCATCGTTCAAGAGGCCCCTCCCATCGTTCAGGATTCACATTCCATACTATGTTGACATATTGGTAAACCCCCTCTTGTGCCCAGTATGATGGATCAGATATGGCTTTCGTATCAGTTATCGGCCAATATCATTCCTCAACACGAGATATGCACACTACCAGACACAATTAAAGATAATATCGTTTGGGCTAAGACCGCAATTGATTTTTATCTACATGAGTGAAGCCAGGGGTGCTTCATCGATATATGCAAAATCGACAATACACATTTGTTTCTTGAGCGGTCTTGGTGGGGTGTTTTATTAGGGGTTGAAGAGAATGACTATTTCGAATGGGGAGTAAGTATTATATTCTTTTTATATTAATTTTGATTATTTTTTTAAATTTATTAAATTCACTAATATATGTATTTTTTATAAAACAACATATTGATTCATGGGTAACACGACTTCTGATTTTAAGGAAATTGAAGAAACTCAAAAAGACGCGATGGACTATTATGCCTTCGTCTTTTCACGCAGCTCACTTGCAGGATCAGAGAGACGTTTCATATGCGTTAGGTAATGGCAAAGCTATCCTTTATCCTACGTGGTGGGAGGTCGATAAGGTTAGTATTTATTTTTGCATATTTAAAGGTGTTCATAAAATTTATTTGATGTGCGTAGTTGAAGTATTATTTATTATATTGCAGATGCTTATCCATGTTATGGAACGACGTCATTGCTTTCTCGTCGAGCTTCAGCTCCCATCCCTGAAGACGATAGTATATGACAGAATACTGAATTACATACCATTGTTTGATTTGAAAGATATTATTTTTAAGGGATGGAGCGATCTTTTGGCTAAATACTTGGATGCGATTGCTTATTGGACTAATTCAGGAAACGAGAAGCCAAATAAGTTAAAAGTTACAATGATGAGAGACGAGACAGCGCCACAATAAATTTCAATAGCCAGAGGGGATTGTGGTCCTCTTTTATGCATGTGCTTGGAACGTATGACGAGAGGAGGTGTAACAATTTCTACCTCCGACAGATAGAGATAGAGGTGCAGTAGGGTTGTGGTTTCAGCATTTTATGGCTAGAGAGATATATGCGAGACGTTGCCTACCTGCATCCAGTGGTTGATATGTGACAGTATGACCATGTGAGAATTTTCTTTTGCTTGTTTATATGACTCTGAACTGTGATAAAAATGTACATGATTTTCACTTGTGAGTTTTATGCATAGGTTTGAAGCCGAGAAATATTGAGATGCTTACAACCTCACCGGGTGCTGAAAGTGTGCATAAACAACCATTTGTTATTGGTAAGTTTGAACAAGGGTTGTTAACCTGTTACTCTTTGTTTTAGATGAAATATTGATTAAAAGTAGTTTTAAAATGTTTGGTTAAGTACCTAGAATTCAATAATTTCAGCTCATATTTGTTGGTTTTGGATGTGTAGAAAATCTTATGGCCATAATGTTTCTACAGGCTAATCCTTCCAGATTTTATAATTTTGGAAGAGATTCTTATTTTTCATGACCCTCGTGTCAGAGAGTTGATGAACATGAAAATATTTGTTGATACAGGTTAAATAATTAAATTTATCTCAGTTCATTGGCTGATCATATCCATTTGCAAGTTGTATATAATGATTGTCAACCTAAATTATGTTGTACACAGTGAACTGTGGTATATTTATTAGTTTTCTGACCAATGTCTGTAAGCTCCCTATTGTTAGGAGCATTTTAGGTTGGATGTACTGTCTGAGGTAAATACATCAATGTGTTGTAAAGTGTAAATAAAATTTGTTTTTTTGTTTAATTGATTTGTTTAATTTCAATATGCATTATGTTGAAGGAAAAAAATTGAAGGCACACTACCTTTAAGAAAATCAAATTCGCAACTCGATATTCCAATTCGCAACTCGAAAATCGAATTCACAACTCAAAAATCGAATTCGCAACACGAAAATCGATTTCGCAATTCAAAAATCAAATTCGCAATGCGAAAATGAAAATCGAAATCGATTTCGAGTTGCGAATTTCATTTTCGAGTTGCCAATTATATTTTCGAGTTGCGAATTTTAATATCGAGTTGCGATTTTCGTGTTGCAAATTTGAGTTTCGAATTAGGAATTTGATTTTTGAGTTGCAAATTTGAGTTGCGAATATGGAGAAGTTCAAAATAACCATCTTTTTTTATAGTTTCAATTCAAGGCAAATACCTTCAAAAAGATAACAGACAACAATCTGATAAGTGATAACAACTGAACATATCATAGCAATGTTCAAACTTCACTACTTCTAGGTTCAACAACATACAATGTAACATCATCTTGTGAAACACTAATGTAAGCAATGAATCGTTCAACATCTTCATTGTCGGTTAACAAATAAACTTTATATTTTCTCTGATAAGATAACCTAAATCTACTTAGAGGCTCTAAATTCAATTTCTTTGAAAGATGTAACATTAGAGTTTCATAAGTTAACTTTTTTAATGACAGTTTTAGTTGAAGATTCATGGGTAAAGGCATATATTGTAAAACACCATTAACAATCTCCCATGGCCCTCTATAACACAAATATATCTAAACATGATCAACATTAGATAATTTCATTCTACAAATTGTAAATTAATTTACTAAACAAACGAGCTATAAACTAAATAGCATCACTAACTTAGAGAAAAACATACATTTATTAAGTTGATAGTTGATAATTTGAGAGAGAAATAATTGAAAAATTATATAGAAATAAAATTATGTAAAAAAATTAGAGATGGGGAAGGATGTCGTCGGATATAGGAACGGATGTCGCCGGAGAGAGTGAGAGATGGAGATGGACTGAGTTGCGATTTAGGGATTTAGGTTATGAGTTGTTGCTGTTGCGTAGTTTATATACCCAAAATATTTGTGTTGCGAAAATAAAAGTTATTTTCCGAAATTAAAATTCGTGATGCGAATTCGAAAATCGAGTTGCGACAATAAAATTCGCGTTGCGAAATTGAAACGCGCTTTGCGAATTAGAAAATCTTGTTGCGAAAAGGAAACTTGTGTTGCGAATTTAAAAATCGTTTTGCGAAAAAGAAATTCGTGTTGCGAAATTGTTAAATTCTGTGTTGCGAATTTAAAATTTTGTGTTGCGAATTTGGAAACTGTGTTGCGAAATTGGAGTTCGTGTTGCGAATTCGTCGGTTATTTTTGCAAATCCAAAAAAAATTGGTTAAAATCGTATATTATAAGGTATTTTCGATCACTTAAGTTATTTTCTCTAATAAAAAAATTACACATCATACAAATATAATAATAATTTAGAGTGATCAAAATATGAGTATTTCAAAAGTTTATTGAGTAAATTAGATAAATTGAAAGTATAATAGGTAAAATAGGAGAGAGAATAAAATTTAGTGGGAAATGATTTATTTTACTCTTATAATTTAAATGTCAAAATAGAAGAAATTGTGCGAAAAGAATCATCAGCAAAATCCCATCGTGTTTCTGATTTCCTTGTACCTCTGTTTCATTTCATTTTCAGATCTCTTTCTCAAAAGCTTCAGGTGACACCCAAACAACCCATTTGTTCCAATCCTCTACCATTTCTCCACCCAAAAAATGTAAAACAAATATCGATGAAAGTACTCGTTGAATCTAATAGTGCTTTTAGAGAATCCCAAATTCTTCAATCTCCATTCTCTCTGAAACAGGAAAGCTCATGGAGAGTTTCGGCGCCGGAGATCTGTCAACAATATGCGGCATAGCACTGTTTCTCTTCTTCATTCTTTCATTCCCACCCATTGGCTTCCATTCTCCATCGTCGGCCGTGCCCAAAAATGGACTCTTTATCGTACCCTTTTCGTCAGTAAGTTCCCTTCATCTCACTATGTGTGCATTTAGATCTCCAATTTGCATATGCCTACACCCAGATTTAAGAAGAAAAGGGGGGGGGGAACATTTATTTACTGTTGAGAAATTTTCCTTTCTTTAGTTCTTGGGATCATAATTTTACTATGCTTAAATATCATAATTGATTCTAATATGTTGATTTGCAGTGGATTTGCTTTCTGGGTTTCTTTAATTTGAGAAAAAGTAAGAGAATTTATTGCAGGAAGTTAAAAGCAAATACTATTAAACGTTAAAACTCCTTTTAGGCATTGCTTTTATCATTCTTCTTTATCTTTGTGTTATTTGTTTATGCGCAGCCGCGTTTGGAGCAGTTTTGCATGTGATATCCACTTCGGTTCTTGGTATAGCAGCCATAACTATGGCGAACACAATTGCTGGTGAATAAACAGTGCATAAACTTGCTTCGCTTTTGCTCATAGTCCTTGGTGCTAGCTATAATATTGTTGTTTTGTGTGGTAAGGGTGGACACAGTCATTCTCATAACCAACCGATGGAGAGAATGGCCGTGGCCGGCCTTGTCCTTGTTCCGGCGTTGTCTCCTTGTGCAACCACTCTCCCTGTGTTTCTAGCTGTCGGAAATTCTTCTTCCATGATGATACTTGCCATTCTAGTGTTGCAATTCAGGTATACATGACAAGGGATTCTAAATTTTGTGAATTGTTTATTCAATTTGATTTTTGTATATAATAGTTAGTTTGCAGTTGGCATTTGGAAATGATAGTAATATAAAGAGAGCTTATCTTCATGTGTTTGCAATTGGTTAGCATCTTCAATTATCACTAGAGTGCTGTTAGTACCATACAATTAATTTTGATGTATGTCTCCATCATGCATATTAATTTTAATCTCTTTTTTTCTTGGTAAATTAGAAAATGGAAGAGAGTTGTGATGCTATTTACTATAAATACGTAAGGGCAAGGGGATAGAGACTGATCTGTGCTATTATAAAGAACTGGCGGCAGAGATCGGAAACCCAGTTGATTATTGTACTACTTTTAGACATAAATCATCTTTTGTTGTGCTGAGCCAACTACTTTGTTTCTTGAAAACAAATTGCTTGATTTTCATATCTTTTCATTAGCATCTAGTACTTTCTTGGACTAAGGTGTTCGCATTATACTTATCTCTGCCTGCAATAATTTTCTATATGCAACTCCAGCTTCAACCTGTATTCTACACTGAAATTCTTAATGTTAATTGGTAGCAATAGCTTTCTTTGCATAAGATTTTATATTATGAGGAACTGATTTAAGTTGGGGAAAATTAACAAGAAAAGTGTTCTCTGTGCATGTGAGAATTCAGTAGCCCTTGTATGTGTTTTACTCGAGATATGTTGAATGTCAATAATCTACCGGTATACAAAAGTTCGGGTTAATCAGACAAGATATTGTATAGATGGCGTAGTCTGCTATAATCCTATAACTCGGGCTTTACTTGCATGGCTAACTTAAGCTGACCATTGGGTTTGCAGCACTATAGCTGTGATGACCTCGCTGGTGGCTTTATCCTTCTATGGTGCTAGCCAGCTCAAGTTTCGTTGGGTGGAGCGATATGACAAAGTTCTCGTGGGTTCGGTGCTATGCTTGGGATCTTAACACTCATTTTTCACGATCATGATGGAGACGAAGGCTTGCATGTACATAACGTGCACAGGAAAATCGTTGGTCTTTGAGGACTTCAACATCCTGCTAGCATATATTTTGGTTAGAGGATCCCATCATCCACTTTAAACTGTTCGTTGTGCCATAAGTGGATTGCAAGATTGTTCTCTTCTTGCCAGCCGGACATGTCTGTGTTTATGCTATGGTCACTTTGCCAGCAATGGTCGATGATGTTTTCTTCTTAATTGATCACTTATAGATCTCTGTTTCTCAAATTATCTATGTTTTCTCTAAATAACCTCACTTTATATGTGAATTCCTAAAGCCAGATTTTCGGCGAACTTCATTGTCATTTAAAGAAGAAATAATCAACTAAGGGACACGGTTTCTTCTGCTCATCACTTTTGTCTGGAAGTGCAGTAGCTATGGTATCCAATGAAAAACACATCCTCCCTTCAAGGGCATTTAAACAGGCTCCGCTGATGGTGCTCATTTTTCATTAAAGGATGCCATTATCTACTAGAGAGAGTCAAAAAGGCCATTAAACAACTTCGGCAAAGGGAAATAATTGAGAGACCAACTTTCCATTCATGGAAAGAAAGGTTATTATTTGTGAATTAGAATGGGGTTTTGTGTAAATTAATTGCTAAAATCAGAAGAAGAAAGTTAAATGGTTCATTGAATAAATATATGGATCATTAATGGTGGATTAAGTTAAATGGAAGATTCTTAGGGTGCGTTTGGTTCACGGAATATAAGATTACCAGTGGGAATGTAAGATTACCAAGTAATAGCATTACTGAGAATGTTGTATTTTGTGTTTGGTTGGCTTAGCAGGAATGTAAGATTACCGTGTTTGGTTAAAGGAATAAAAGATTATTGGAATGTATATTTGACCAAATTGTCCTAATTATATATTTGTGTAATATTACAAGTTGGAAAATATTTATTTATTTTCTTTAAAAAAATTAAATTCATAATATTTATATATTTTTTACAAAATTAAAAATAAAAAAAAATTTAATGAAAGGGTAAAATTTTATTTTAACCCTTGAACTTCATATAAAATTTTAATTATAGATTTTTTTTGTAAATCTAAAATAATTTAAGGATAAATTTGTAATTTAATATTCGTAAAATTTTTATTATTCGATGACAGAATAAATATATTTTTGAAAAAAAATAAAAAATTTAAAGGCATTTTAGTCCAAAACGCTGGTAATCCAACAATACCTAAAGAAATGGAGGTAATGACATTCCCGGTAATATACCCCAAAAAATCCACTATTGGTAATCTTACATTACCGGGAATAGGATTCCCGGACTAACCAAACGGGGGAATGTGGATTCCATTCCCATGGGAATCCCACATTCCCCCATCCAAACACCCCCTTAGGTGAAAGCTAGCAAAGAGACTAATAAAATATTGGGTAAATTACATGTTTATTCACTAAACTTTACTCTATCTCCTTTTTCACTCACTGTACCTTCAATTTTTTTAATTTGCTCATTAAATTTAGACATTGAACTTTTTTTAGTCACTCGATCGTTTACTCATTAACGGCGTGCTCACGTGGTTTATTTTAATAATAAAACATGACACACATTTACTCATTGAACTTTACTCTTTCTCATATTTCACTCATTGTATTTTTAATTTTTTTCAATTTTAATTTAGCGACGTTAAAAATTTAACAGTCGAGTGACAAAAAAAATTTAATGTCTAAAGTTCAGTGAGAATTAAAAAAATTGAAATTACAATGAATAAATATAAGAGTAAATTTAGTAAGTAAGCGAATAATTTACCCTAAAATATTTCAACCTGCACAAAAAAGCTAAGTAAAACAGTCTTGGGATTAATCAAAAACTCCACCAGCTAGTAGTTCATCGATTCATTGCATGTTACTATGTTTTATTCAATGAAATAATGATCTGATTTTAAGAACTAGTCAACACCCAGAAGCACGAATCATTGCTTTGTTTTCTCGCTTCTTTGTTCTTCATTAAATGTGTCTGCAATTTACAACCACGTTAAAAACCAGACCACCTAACACATTTCGATCCCCCACACACATTCACACACCTCCCTTATCTCACCCTTTAACATGGGTTTTACTCCCTCGTGCTCTGGTCTTTCCCTGCATCTTTGACCTTCTCTTTACTTGATACAACTTCCCATCTCAATACATTTTCTTGTACTTTCTTTGCAACTTCCTAAGCCGCTTCAGGTTCAAGATTCTTACTTTAAGGCTTTTAGCTACCCTTTTTCCACGGTTCCTCTCTTCTTTCCTTGTTGTCAAGCATTATCTTCTCGCCTGGCTCTCACTCTCAGGCTCAGTCCTTTGGTGTGATGTTATACTCCTTTTTTTGGGATATCTGGCGCTTCTGAGCTTGTTTCACTTGATTTGGGTTTCAGTTTATGTCAGTGGACATGGGTTTTGAAGTTCATTCATTGGCCCCTTAGATTAGTCTTTTAGCTTTTGTAAGTATCCCATTTTTGAAATAGTTGAATTCTTTCAGTTTTAAACTGCATTTATATGTAGTCTTTTAGCTCATTTCAGCATTGCAGCTTGTTGTAGAAGTTCGCTATAGCTCCTGTTCCATTCTGATATATTCACTAAGGTTTGTGGGGGTGGAGGTTTGGGGACTTTGTCTGAAGGAATGCAGAGATTCAAAATTTTATGTTTGTTGTTTCTGGTAGTGACTACATTTGCCCAATCTGATTTTGAAGCACTTTTAGACCTGAAGAAAGGCATTGAGAAAGACCCTTCTGGTAAAGTTCTTGATTCATGGGACTCCAAGTCCTTGGCATCTGATGGGTGTCCCAAGAAATGGTTTGGCGTCACCTGTAATGAAGGCCGTGTAATTTCAATCACTCTAAATGACTTGGGTTTGGTTGGGAACTTCAGTTTCCCTGTCATTGCTGGTCTTAAGTTGCTTAGAAATTTATCCATTTCAAGCAACCAGTTGACAGGGACCATCTCGAACATCGGCTCGATTCGGTCTCTCGAGTTTATGGACCTCTCGGTTAATGCCTTTCATGGGGTTATGCCATCAGGCATCGCCAATTTAAAAGATTTGGTTCTGATGAATCTTTCTTCAAATAGTTTCGAAGGCACATTTCCCTCTGGGTTTAGCAACCTTAAGAGGTTGAAATATTTAGATTTACGATCAAATGGCTTTTCTGGGGATATCATGAATCTTTTATCCCAATTGGAAAGTGTGGCTCATGTGGACTTGAGCAGCAATCAGTTATCTGGTTCACTGGACTTGGGGCTTGGAAGCTCCAGTTTTGTTTCTTCCATTCAGTATCTAAATATAAGCCGGAATTTGGTGGTTGGAGAGCTCTTTGCTCATGATGGAATGCCGTATTTCGACAGTTTAGAAGTTCTGGATGCTAGTAATAATAAGTTAGTGGGAACTTTACCTTCTTTCAATTTTATAGTCTCTTTGCGGATCCTTCGGCTTGGGAACAACCAGTTGTCAGGATCACTACCAGAAGCACTTTTGCAAGAAAGCTCCATGGTCTTATCCGAACTCGATCTCAGCCTTAATCAACTTGAAGGTATTTCAACTTTATTTCATAACTTCAGTGAGCAATTGTATCTGTCAATGTATTGTGCTATTTAATCCTAGTTTGCTTTATATCATAAATTTTACCCTGCCTTGCTAATTAAGCAATGCGCATGGCAATGACAATCTTGGAGCGTCGCATTATGCATCTGTACCTATAGCATTTGATTCTTTTCTTCCAGCTTTCGGAAAACATCGTAGTCTCCCTATCTTGAACTAAACTGGGGTAGAAAATGTATGTTATCCTTTTCTGGTTTCGTAAAACTGCAAACAAGTTTGTCTCGGATCATTTTAGAGATGATCAAACTAACATGGTAGCTATGCAACGTGACAATAAGTTAAAATAATTTGTTTCAAAATAGTATAACCCCTTGACATTAAATGTAGTTAAATTCACTTGTATGGTAAGTTCAATTAGTAGGTCCTTTCTATCGATGCCGGATTTGTAGTTCAGAGTCAATTCTTCAAGGTTTCATATGCTGATTACTTTTGGTTCCAGTATATTATATTTGTAGTTCAGAGTCAATTAGTAGGTCCTTTCTATCCATGCAGGGCCAGTAGGAAGTATAACCTCATCAACTCTAAAGAAGCTCAACATATCATCAAACAAACTCTCGGGGTCCTTGCCGTATAGGATAGGGCATTGTGCAGTCATAGACCTCAGTAACAACATACTCTCAGGGGACTTGTCTAGAATCCAAGGTTGGGGGAATTATGTGGAAGTTATTGAATTGAGTTCAAACTCTCTGACCGGTACCTTGCCGAACCAAACTTCTCAGTTTTTAAGGCTGACTACATTCAAGGTATCAAACAACTCATTACAAGGTGTGCTTCCAGCAATTTTAGGATACCCAGAATTAAAGGTCATCGATCTTAGCCTCAACCACCTTAACGGATCTCTCCTTCCCAGCCTCTTCGTGTCAACAAAATTGACTGATCTCAATGTTTCAGGCAATAACTTTACTGGTTCGATACCTCTTCAGGACATAAAGAACATGCCTTCCGTAAGTTCTGCAGAAAATTATAGCCTGGTGACTCTTGATCTGTCTTATAACTCATTAACGGGCAGCTTGCCCCCGGAAATCGCCAAGTTCCATAAGTTGGAGGTTCTTAACCTATCCAATAACAAACTTGAGGGCAGCATCCCTGATAGTCTTACTAACGAACTGAAAGGATTCAATGTGTCTTTTAATAATTTCTCTGGTGTTGTACCTGACAACTTGAGGGGATTTCCCGACTCATCATTCCATCCTGGAAACTCCTTACTGAAGTTGGGTTCTTTTCCATTGTCGCCAAAAGGTTCTTCCAACCTGAATTTGAAGGCTCATGGGTCTCAGCTGAAACCTGTCGCCAGAATTGCCTTGATTGTAGGCTTGGTTGGTGGTGCTGCTATAATAGCACTTGTGTGCGTAATGATTTATTATAGGAACAACTGGCAGGAAACTACGAGCGAGGGCCTGAAAAGAAACGGCAGCAAAGAAACCGTACATCACGGAGAGTATTCCCATTCTCATACATCAGCACCTTACAGAAGCAAGGATTCATCCTCGTCTTCATTTAGTTTCCGTCGAGAGCTTTTGTCATCAACCAAAAAGGGTTCTGCATATGATCAGGGAAACAGTTCATTCATCTTAAATGACCCTAAATATCTTGGTCATCTCGAGTCCACAAGAAGAGATGATGGAGTGGCTTCTCCCATGTCTATCTTGTCGTCTTCAAATGCATCTCCAACAAAAGACCAATTTCCATTTGAGAGTTCGAGTGCACTACAGGTTCGTTCTCCCGATAAACTAGCTGGGGATCTGCATCTCTTTGATGGATCTCTGACACTGACCGCAGACGAACTTTCACATGCTCCGGCTGAAATTATTGGAAGGAGTTGCCACGGGACATTGTATAAAGCTACGCTTGACTCTGGTAATGTGTTGGCTATCAAATGGTTGAAGGAAGGGATAGCAAAAGGTAAAAAGGAATTTGCGAGGGAAGTGAAGAAACTCGGGTTCATCAAACACCCTAATTTAGTTTCTCTTCAGGGTTATTATTGGGGTCCCAAGGAGCATGAAAAGTTGATCATATCAAATTACATCAATGCACAATGTTTGGCGTTCTATCTGCAAGGTAGGATGAGAAACCAATTTGTTGCCTGTGTTAGGTGACAGTTTCAGTGCTGGTCGAATTTCCGGGATCTCGATTTTCGTTCATAATCTGCATTGTTAATACTCTCGTGTACACACAACTGCATGTATTATCATAGTTTAGGTACAGCAGAAACGACTTTGTTACAGAAATATAATCGATGAGTCTAAATCTGGAATAATATGCAAGATTGTAGGAAATATTAAAGAGAAGTACACAAAACTGCATTGTCTTTTTGTTATATTAGGTCATTTGATTCTGTAGATTGAACTGTATGCAGAATGGTATTGCACGCAGAGTCTTGAGTTTCACAACTAATGTTTCTTAAATTCTTCTGCAGATACGGAGCCAAGAAAACCGTTGCCCTTGTCTCTGGACGAACGGCTTAGGGTTGCTATAGATGTGGCTCGATGTCTGAACCACCTACACAATGAGAGCGCAATACCCCACGGCAACCTCAAGTCTACAAACATTTTACTAGAAACTCCAAATTTGACTGCACGCCTCACTGATTACAGTCTCCATCGGATACTGACATCAGCAGGCACAGCTGAACAAGTTCTGAATGCAGGTGCTCTAGGCTATCGCCCCCCTGAATTTGCTAGCTCAAGCAAACCATGCCCGTCCTTAAAAAGTGACGTATATGCCTTTGGGGTCATATTGATGGAGCTTCTAACAGGAAAGAGCTCGGGAGAGATAGTTTCAGGGAGCACTGGTATGGTTGATCTAACCGACTGGGTGAGGTTGTTAGCATCGGAACACCGTGCCGGTGACTGTTTCGGTCCTATGATATTGGGAAGGGATAATGGTGAAGACACGCGTAGAACGCTCGATGCCATGCTACATGTGGCTCTGAGATGCATCCTACCGGCACAAGAGAGGCCCGATATGAAATCGGTTTACGAAGATCTCTCGCTAATCGCATTACAGAAAGGTAACCAAAAGGGGTTGTAACCGTGTAGCTTAACTACTAACCCCACATTT